GGCTGCAATGAAGGAGAAACATCTTCAAATATGCAACTGTGTCAGCAGAACAAAAACTCCAGGCAAGATGATTCAGGTACTTCTGTCAGCAAAGGGCTAATGGTTTATGCAAACAAGGTTGCTTCAGACATGGTGTTCTCATTCTTGCAGACCATGAAAGTTGAAAAGACGGGCAACAAGCACGTTCCAGCTTGCCTGGTTTTGAAGAAAGTAGTTCTCAAACACGCCAGAGATGTTATATCAGACTTGATAGATTCAGCAATGAAAAATCTGCATCGTGTTACAGGTGAGCTCATGACAGACTCTGGCTTTGTTGCCACAGTGAAGAAAAATCTATTCAGTATGGGAAGCCAGAAGTCAACTGAAATTTTGGAAGCTATGGTAAGAAGGCTTTATAATGTCCTTTTATCAGAGCCAGAGAAGTCCAGGACTCAAAGTCTAGCATATACCATACTGAAAGCAGGGTTCCCAGACTCAAAGTCTCAAAGCATGCAGTTTGCAGCAATGAAAAGTCAAACCCATGGGAAAGATAAGGTAAAAGCTAATCCAATGATGCAGACCTGTGCTGAGAAAGTAAGCGAGCACATACTCAAGGCAAAAGGGAGTCAAGGAAATAATCCAGGAACAACCAGCAACTCAACAGAATCCCTAGCAAAAGACCTCATTTTGACTTCCTTAACATTAATACAACAGCACCTATTACAACAGACAAGCAAAACAACAGGCAAAGAGTGTAGTGAATCAGGTGCCGCTTCGTTTGGGTATGTCTCCCGCGATGCACATTTCGAAAAGGCTGGGAACAGCCAAAGTTCCAAGTCCCTTGCGGAGGCTTCTGGGTCGAGGCCGGCAGGGACAAGGAACGATTACCAACAGCACCTCAACTCCCAGATGGGAGACATATCAAGTATCCTCTTGTCCATCATACAGAAGGTCTTGCACGAAGCTGGATTCAATAGTGAAGACAGCTCCAGCGAAACAAACAAGAGCTTAAAGCATACCCCTGCCAGCGAATGGGAGCCTGGCAAACAGGTCGTAGCCAATCATCCTAATTCAGCCATGGAGCAGTCCGACAACATGGATCAGGTCAATAAGCAATTTATTGACCAACTGGTGGAAACTGCAATGAAGCTGTGTCTCTTCATGGTCAAAGGAAGTGGCACTGACTTAGCTATAGGTGACTCGTCAGAGGAACCCAGTGCATTTGATACCTCATCTGCAAAAGCTCAAGGAACACCCATTTTAGCTTCCCTACCAAAACAGAACGGTAACCCACTTACAGATTCATCCTCGGGTTCTCAAGTGATAGTGACCAACCAGAATGCCAACAACAACTCACAAAACAAAGAGCTTCAGGCCATCCTCCAGTGGGTGGTTGCTTCCCAGTACAATGTGCCAAATCTGTCATTTATGCATGGAAATGAGGAGGATCTGAAGAAGCTTCCTTTGCTAGCCGAAAAAGTGACCAAGAAGGGCTACAGCGTGGGGGATATTCTCCAGGAAGTGATGAGGTACTTAGAAAAACAACAGTTTGATGCCGCTGTGGGAAATGTAACTCGCTGTGGACTACTGGACTGGTTGATCAATAACCTCTAAGAACGCACTGACTCTCCCTCCCTCGAAAGTCACTCTGACCCAGCCAAAGTCCCCAAACCAGCTCTCTTCTGGCACAACAAACACATGTTTGCAAGAGACAGCTCTCCATTGAATTCAATAGGCTGTCATACACAAGCTGGGCAAGATCATCAATAAAAAAAAAAAAAGAAAAAAAAAGAAAGGACTACTTTATTAAGCATTTCAGCAGAGCTGAAAAAAATAACTATGCAACTACTAGTTAGAGGAATAAACCTGTTACCAAACAGGTATATATGAAAATCTGCATTGTGGGATTAGAAGGATAAACAGATAGGAGGCATAAGTGAGGGACTAGGATGACTCCACCCTAGGTCAAAAGACTTCCTAGGAAAGGACAGGCATTGTGATTTTGTGACGGTACAGTCTTTGAACACTGCTTTGAGATTTTTTCCACATCCACCTCTACCTAGTAGGTGTGTAGCAGGGACCCGGGCCATCCCCACACTCACTGGGGTGATGACTGCTGGGATGCTTCATGGTCCATGAAATCCCAGGCCCTCCTGGCAGCCAGCAATGAGCACAAGGGTAGGCAGCACACTCCCTGGCATGCTTTCCACCCCGGTAGGACTAGGAAGTGGCAGGAGACGCACACTCTGCATCCCTGTCCCCCAGGCACAGCCAGGAGAAGCAAGCCAGTCTCTACCTGGCCTGAGCCCCGCTGAGGCCAGGAGTAAGTGGCCAGCGTGCCCAGTGCCACCTAGACTGGGAGGCTGCAGCTTTAGCCAACGATGGGCCCCGCAGACGCTCTCAGCACCTGGTCACAGCTGCAGGGTACATGGGGGCGGACAGAGGTCCGGTGTAGCTCCGGTCTCCCTGGAACTTCCATCATCGGGCAGCGCCAACCCCAAGGAATGGGAGGTGCTGGTGTAGGTAGCAAGCCTTGCTGCTTGCCTCCACAGAAGCCAGACACTTTGCTCACAACCAGCCAGCCACTGGCTCCAACAGTAGGAAACGGGCCGCTTGGTGGATGCTGGAGACCAGGTAACAGTAAGGGTGTCAGTGGCCCCAGCTACCAGGAGTGGGTCTGGGACAGACCTACTTTATGAATCAAGGCTGGGACTACGGAGTATTCCCCAAAGAGCCTAGTCACCCAGAAAAAAGGTGTACATAAACTGTAAGTCTGAAGTGCACGGCCTACAAACAGACAGCAGACACCCTTATATATTTCTTTAGTAATGCTGATGTAACACAGACATCATTGGCAGTAGACACGTGCCAAGGTCACAGGGCTGGGTCAGCCCATGTCAGCCCCAGACCCTTCTGTTTTTCTTTTAAAGCCAGACCTTCTCCTCCATTACATGAAGGGTGATGCCTAGAGGTCCAGGCGTCTACCTCAAGCACAGCACAGAAACACTTTAGTGGAAAGGGGTTGGATGTAGGGCAGGTGCAGCCCCACACAAGGTGCCCAGACAACAAGACCTGTGCCCTTCTCAACAAACCCCCCTCTAACAGTCAGGTACCACCTCCTGATATCTTTTTAATTTAACACTAATTCATGGCAGGCGGGATATCAAAACAGGGGCAAACACACCTGTTGAGAGTACAACACCTGGGTCCCACCCTGGTACAGCCCTTAGCCCAGATAATTTTGAAAGTCCATCCCTTCTAAGGGACAGAAAAGGAGCTGTGCCATCTCCTTTTCAGAGCCTATTAGCTTTTCCAAAGTACAAGGCAAAATGCTCCTTCCCTTTCTTCCTATGTATTAAAAAAAACACCTCCTTCCCACTGAAGAAAAACAAAACAAAACAAAAACAAAAACACCTGTGCACCCAGTCTCAGTTCTCTCAAACCTTACCTATATGAAACTAATATAATGCTTCCCAATTTTACAGCTGTAGTCTGAATAATAGCGAAGCTAACAATAGTCATATTAATTTCACATCAGTGCCAATTCGCAAAGCTAGGAGCAAATATCTTCAAACATAAGGGCTCCAAGTCCCTTATTTGAACAGATGAAAGTCTAGAACCTGTGTGAGCTAGGACAGATCCATTCACAGTAAACTTCCCAATTAACCTGGCAAGTCAAATTTCAAGTTTATGATTTTAGTACAGATTATACATTGTCAAACTCCTCAAAAACAGAACTTAGAAATATATGGGAAAGTGAAAGGAAAGCAGAAATGAGAAGATGCAGAAAATAGCTCACTACTCAACAGTACATTTCACAAGCTGGAAATGTTTTAAAAATACTGCATTGTTTTGTTTATAATCCATCATGGCCAGAATTAAATTTTTCACTTGATACAGTACTTTCTAAATATTGTTTTTCTACCCCGATTATCTCCTGTAAAAATTCCCCACTTTAAAGACTTTTTTCTATGCCAAAACCAAACATTTCCTTAGGACTAGAGTTCATTTTGTATAACCATGCAATATGGATATCATTTAATAGAAAGCCACCTAGATTAAACCTGGCATACAAGTTTTGCTTCCACCTTTTTCAAAATTATCAACATTTGCTTAACTGCCAATATATTGGAAAGAAACTAGCCGTGCATAACAAACTGTCTTGATTAATTATCCTTACGTAGGTTGCTGTAATACCAAAATTGTGTTCCAAATACACAGGAAGACAACAGTTCCTACTCCCAAGCAGAGCATAAAAAGGAACACGTATGTTGGCGTGGCACAGAACTAGTACAAATAAGATCTTCATTGTGAAAATAGATATCATTACTTATAGGTAGCTGGGTTTCATTTACGCACACTTCAATTCCACTCCTCCCTCGACTATTTCACAATTCCACCTTCCTCTATAGCAATCCCAAACATCTTTTCCAATGCCCTTAAAACTTTTTCTTCCCAATATTTAACACCTTCCTGCCATGAAAGGAGTAATTCCGGCCTAAAATAAATAAAGTACAAATGACAGTGTCTTTTAAATGTTGTGAAACACTGGGAAGAGAACACTGAGGATTGTAGATTCTTTCATGAAAGTTGTGCCATAATGTTCTGAAAGGTACAAATACAAGTTTTGACTTCTCTTTTCCAAATCCTTAAAAATTACCACAGAAAATAATGGGAATCATGTAGATTCAAACACTCTGAAAATGTTTTTGGACAACAGCAAGACAAATACCTTCTTGCCCCCAACTTTCTAAAAAATGTCTTGCTTAGAGGAATGGATGCTGGTAATGTTCCGTTGCCAGAAAGCCGTAAGACTGTGTAAAGCAACAGAACCTCAGCACGTCACTTGAGAACTAAAGGAAATGCTCTCTCTCAGGAGTGTCTAACTCATTGGGTCCCAGGGTTCAGATGACAGCTGATGTGTGGCCTGGATTGGGACGACACACCAGAGCCAGCATACAGGGCTGGCTTGGTGGAGCATTCGGTTTCAGTGTTGAGCGTTATTCCAAGAACCAAAATCTGAAGGCAGATTTTTTTTCTCCTGGATACATAGTAGAAGGAGCAGTAAATCAATCATTCTCCCCCTGCAAAGAAAGAAAAGGCAGGCAGAAATGTAACAGCAAACCCAAACCCTGTTACTCAGGCACAAGGGAGAAGGATGATTCTTATAGCCTGTGCCAAAGCAGCCCACAGGATGGGGGGAGCTCTGGTAGCCAGCAGGCAGGAGAGAACTGTGAGACATATTTGTGAAGGAACTGGGGTTGAAGCCACTGGTGCAGGCAAGGGGAACCTGTACCAGGGAGCCAGGGCTCCGGTCACTTTAGGGAGGAGGGAGCAGCAGGAAGCAAATGGAATCTTTATTAAGGGATCAAAGGCTCCTGTGCGTGGCCTGGAGAGGAAGCCAGGTGACTAAAAGGTGCACAGAAGCACTGTCCCTGAGCCTGAGAGGGCAATCGGGCCCTGGAGGCTGCACGGAAAACTGCTCTCACAGGGAAACAGTACCCAGGGAAAAGAGGCTATCTATAGAGGCGAGACAAGTTTAACCCTAGGAGTTATAGTTTGTGGGAGGCAAGCTCTGTGAATGCGGGATGCATGTCTTTTAGTTGTGCTCATTTATTTCTGTTTTATAACCAGAGGAAAGGATTTGGCTAAAAGGGATGGACTGGAGGCCACAGGACCTCCAGCAGAAGGACATG